GGGGTAACAGGGGGACACCACCATGCCCAGCTTTCTACACAGGTTCTGGGGCCCCAAACTCAGGTCCTCATGTTTGCAAGGCAAATACTTTACTGATCCAGCCACCTCTCCAGCCTTCATGGAACATTTTTTAAATTTATTTAGCCGGGTGGTGGTGGCGCACGCCTTTGATACCAGCACTCCGGAGGCAGAGGCAGGCAGATCTCTGTGAGTTCAAGACCAGCCTGGTCTACAAAGCGAGTTCCAGGAAAGGCGCAAAGCTACACAGATAAACCCTGTCTCAAAAAACAAAACAAAATTTATTTATTTATGTATTTTATCTGTATGATTGATTTATTTGCATGCATGCCTGCATGCCAGAAGAGGGCATCAGATCCCATTACAGATGGTTGTGAGCCACCATGTGGGCGCTGAGAATTGAACTCTGGACTTCTGGAAGGGCAGCCAGTGCTCTTAATTGCTGAGCCATCCCTCCAGCACCAGAATGTGTGTGTGTGTGTGTGTGTGTGTGTGTGTGTGTGTGTATGTGTGTGTGTGTGTATGTGTGTGTGTGTGTGTGTACGTACATATATGTATATACATACATATATGTGTGTATATAAACATATATATAATCTTAACTTGTCACTAGCAATGTGGCATCTGTCTCTTCCTTATTCTGAGGCACTGTTTGAGTTAACAGCGGTTCCCATAGTCTCCTTCTCAGCTCAGGGAGAGAGATGCAGCCCCTTTTGAATCAGCAATGGCACAATCAGCCGGAGAGCTCTTTCTGATACTGTTAGAGGGCTCTAGAGATGTTATTTCAATCATAAGGAAAATGTGACCATCTTGGTAACTGATGGACGTGGGCCCCTCTGTCACTCCTGCTGTGACGGCCGCCCACACGCAGCAGTGAGAGGCTTGGGCGAGACCCATTCCCTGTCGTCACCAGCAGGTGCCACGGCCAGGATCCAGGAGCTGTGCCTCCCATGCCTTCTGGTTTGAAGTGAGACTTGGGACTGTTGCTTGGCAGCCAACCTGTGCCAGGCATGTGCAGCGGAGAGAAGCCTGTGAGACCTTGGGAGGGATGACGAGAGAGCATCATTTCCAACGTGGGGCACAAGGCCGCTCTGTGCAGGGAATCTTGGAGTTTGCTTCATCTCAGCTGCTTTGAGAGGCGTGCATCCTGGTGTATTTAAGGTTTGAGCTTGTGGCTGCTGGGGCACTGTGTGCCTTTCAGTTGCTGAGAACCTGAGGCACTTCCTCAAGCAGTGGAGCACACAGGCCGCCTGTGTGTCTCCATGTTCCTTAGAGGTTGGTGAAGCATGCAGAACTTGGCTGAACATTTAACACTAGACACTAATCTTGTATAACCTGTCAGGCTTGCAGACCGCCATATCCTTTTATGTCAAGTGCATAAAAGGTCCAATTGCTTGAAATAAACTTGTTTCTATCTCTTGCTGAGATCCCTCCAACCCGGCCTGACTCATTCCCACCTACCATATCAGGAGACCCCGGTTCGATAAATAAGAACTGGCACTTACAGCTCTACAACATGGAGGAGTTAAATCAGGTGTACCAGATGAGGAAAACATCTCAGCCAGGTGCTGGCTAGGTTGTGTTGACCTCTGTTGGGGGTTGGGGGGAGACGAGTAGCTACCTCGGGTAGCTCATGGCTTTGGGGAGACCCAAGAGGATCTTGCAGTAGAGACGTTGGACCAGGGCACAGAGACCTAGTAGGAATCAGCATAGTATGGTGGAGAGAATATACGCAGAATATAGGGAAAACAATCCCCAGACACAGTTTCTCCTACATTCACTCAGCAATCGACACAGATCCACAGATCTCTCTCTCTCTCTCTCTCTCTCTCTCTCTCTCTCTCTCTCTGTGTGTGTGTGTGTGTGTGTGTGTGTGTGTGCGCGCGCGCGCGCGCGCGCGCGTGTGCGGATGTCCTCTGACTCACTTCAGTTCTGACACTATCTACTCAGAGGTAGCCTCAGATACCACAGGTTGAGGGCTCAGTCCCCCACACTGTCCACCCGCTCCAGATAACAGCCACAAGCCCTGGTTGTCTTACCTGAGCTTCTGACCTCGGGGCTCTAAATTGGGGTTCTTCCAACCCACTCCTCAGGTTCAAATCATTTGGTACAAATGCCCCCAGGGTTCAGAAAATATGTAAGTTTTTGGGTTTCACAAAAGGTGCCAGTGGACATGAGATGAAAGTTTTGCATGATAAAGTTGGAAGGAAGGGGTGCAGGGCTGCCATGCCCTTTCTGGGCACCTTGTCCTCAGGGGACCTGCATGTTCTAGGCTATCTAGAAGGCCCAAGCCCTGACCTTTTGGGTGGGAAGGGGGGCTACAAAGGCATCCTTACAAAAGCAGGATTGATTATATCATTGACCGCTGGTGATTAACTCCACCCTGGGTCCTCCTTACTTCCCGGAAGTTTGAGGGATAGACCTGAGAGTGTCAGCTCTCTGCTTCTGCTCTGGCTTCCCTCTGACCAGCTCCACCCCGGAAGCCACCTGGAGCTGCCCACCGTCAGTCATGCTATCGGTATTACTACCACGGCGATTCCGAGCTTCTAGGAATTCCATGCCAGGGACCAGGCTGAAGGGCACTGACGTATTTCACAGCATCACTTTGGGGGAAGCTGGTGGTGCTCAGGTATCTGTGAACCTCAATTTTCTCCACAGCCAAGGTCCCACTGTGTGCCAGTTTCCAGCCCCAGCTCCACCAGCTTTATGAGGTCACTTCTTGGTTAGGTCTCTACACAGAAGGGCTTGTGATAGCACTCCACATTCAGCACGGACCCCCCCCCCCCGCCCCCCCAGCCGGATCCTAAGGGGAAAACTGGCCAATTATGCTTCTCACCCAAAGTCAAAGAAATCTGCCTCCCCTCCTCCATGTCTGACCCCATGTGACAAGGGGACATTTCCCTCTGTCATCTGGACATTCTCCGGAGCAAACTTACAAAGACAAACGAAACCAGAGGAAAAGCATACACATCTGTGAGTGTGCAAATGTGGAAAACCCAGAGCACAGAAAGTCACAAGTGCATGGCCACCCACCAGCTCAGTGGGGCACAAAAAAGGCATACCTCACTCCTGTTGGGGAGGCCAGAGTGCAGGCAACTTTGAGGTGACTCATACATGGCTTTTAGGTGGAATCTAATGAGCTTTGAACATACACAAAGGCCCAGGACAAAGTCTCATGAGCCATGAAACAGTGGCTTGTAAATGATTCTCTATGGGACTGAAAGAGGACATGGAGTGTGACAAGTCTACTGTGTCATATGAGTAGATTGGATTGAAATGCAAGGTCAGGGGGACCTGAACTTTGGGAGTGTGGGGGAGTCTAAGGCCCCTCAACCTCTCAGAGCATCCGTCTTTGGGGTCTTGTTTCCTGGGCAAACACTCCAGATTCTTTCTCACCCAAAGGACAACTAACAAGGCTAGAGCTTGATAACTTTCTGACGGCAGGACATGGGAAAGGATGCTTAACAATGTAAAATGCGTCCTGGTTGCGCCAGCTGCTGGGGACAGCCCCCCCCCCCCACTCCCCCATGCTGCCCTCCTTCTGAGTTTGATTATTTCAGCTGCAGCCTAGCTTGGGATGGACGCCGTAGCTCACTGGTACATCCTGCTTATTAAACTTCTGAGGAAGAGGGGGGCTATTTCCACAGGTGCTTCGCTCTTAGTGTTTCCTTTGAATGATAGCTTTGCACCCCACCTCCTTCCTCAGAAAACAATGGAGTAGGAAGGACCGAAGGAAGGGATCAGAAGGTAGCGACTCTGAATTCACAGCTATGCCAAAGGCAGCCTCTGCTGGGAGTGGGTGGGCCTTGGAGATACTCTGGCAATTAGGGGTCCCCGGGGACTTTCACAGCAGGTCAGGTAAGGATATCCCCGGGAGGGTGGAATTTTTGATGACATCAGCTCTTAGGAGGAGACAAAGATTAATAAATATCATGTATAAAGAAAACAGTGTGACTAGGGTGACCTGCTCACTGACTTAGATTACAAAAGTCCTCACGTTGATTGTATTGCTGAAATTCATTGCTTTAGTCTGTTCTTCAGACTGTCCCCAAATGATTCAACATTTCCAGGGTCCTCATTAGTCCAAAGGGTCCAAAGGGAAGTTCAGCTTTGCTGGCTGACCCCTGAAGAAGGATGAGCTATGGCTTCTCCATGCAGTCAGAAGGTGTCACCCTTGAGGCTCCAGGCAGGACCTCTTCAGGGGAGAGGGGAAGTGGGTGCAACAAGAGGGGCTGTGAGCTCCAGACCAGAACCCCCGTCCTGCTGCTCACACCACAGACCCCAGGATGCCAGTGGACGCCCACTTAGCAGGTAAGTGTGGGTAAGAAGGGTGGTTCCTGTTCCATCTTTTAAAGGGCCAGACTGCTGCTCCCTCCGCTCTACCGCTGAACACTAACCCTTTGGGAAGGGAGGGGGGCGGCACCATTGCAGGCGTCACTAGCAAAGCCTGTGGCAGGAGGGGCCTCCCAGTTACCCTATCCTTCCCTCTTCAGAAACCACTGGTACCTCAGAGCTGCAAGCGCTCTGTTCTGTCCTTCTTGTCCCGTTCAGGAGCACACGTGGCATTTGCCCAGGAAACACAAATGCCAGTTATTTCGACTGAAGATGTTGGAGCTTCCTCATGCCATCCTGACACCGCGGTTCCATTTTCCACCAGGATCATGATTACAAGGATGGATGCTAAAACCCATCCACTTTGGACATCTCCAGGCTTCTCCCTGTCTTGAAGGAAGCCAGGCTTTGGAACCCCAGATGCAGATGGAGTAAGTGGCTTAGGATCTGTGGGGAGAAGGGCTGGCCGTGGTCAGGGAAGGCGGCCAGTCTCCAAGGCATGTTTTTGCTGTGGGTCCTCTGAAGAGACATTTGAGCTGGTGGGAGGGCAGCTGGCAACCCTATGGGAACTGCAGGAGAAAGCCTTGTGATCATGTAACATGGGAGTTTTCATTCACAGGCCTGGCATTGATGGGAGTCTTCATTCACAGGCCTGGCGTTGGGCCCTGGGTCTGTGACCCCTACCCACTGTTTCAAAAATAAGGACCCTTTTTATTTATTTAATTTTATTTGTGTCTGGGTGCTTTGCATCATGTGCTTGCAGTTCTTGAGAAGGCCTGAAGAGGGCATTGGACGGATCACCTAGGCCTCGCCTTCCACACTGCTGTGAGCCACCGTGTGGTCACTGGGAATCAAACCCAGGTCTTCTGGAAGAGCAACAAGTATTCTTAACTGCTGGGCCATCTCTCCAGCCACCCCCACTTATTTTTAAAGATTTATTTTCCTTTTATTTGTGTGTGTTGTGAGCCACCCTACGTAGGTTCTGGGAACTGAACTTGCAAGGAGCCTCTCTTGCTAGAATTCATGCAGGATTCCTGGAGGTGACATGTCTCTGTAAAATGTCATGAAGCTCAGAGCTGGGTACATTCAGCTTGAGGAACAAGAGGGAGCACATATGTTCTATTCAAGTTCCCAGAGCAGAAGGCCTGCGGACTGAATGTTTCCACTGACTCTGGACTTTTAGGGGGGCAGTGAAGGTAAAATGAAGCCCTAACAGTGGAGTCTGACCCAAACAGAACGGTATCCTTATCAGAAGTTTCCAGAAAGCTTGTTTTCTCTCTGCCGTGTGTGGATACAGTAAAAAGCAAACATTTACAGCCAAGAAGAGAGTTCTCGCCAGACACGGGGCCAGGCCAGTCCTTGCACATTCAGCCTCCACGATGGTGAGAAATGTTTTTCTGCTACTTAAGTGGCGTCTCCTACTCTCCATCAGCCCTCGGCTGTAGCTCTGATATCTGAGCACGCCGCAGAATGAAATTCCGGGGAGGCAATACCAACAGCCAAGCTCTGTTCATCATCAACCTTCATCTGTGTTTGTCCCAATGACTTAAACATCCCAGCCTCTGGAGTTAAGTTGTCTAGAACACTCAAGGGATGCCACCTTCCAGGAATGCCGGAACCCCATCTGCCTGCTTAGGTCTGAAATGTTTCTGACCCTCTGGTCTAGCAAGTGCAGGCAAGTCTACCAAGCACCAAGCACCCGTGTTTTGGTACCTGCCCCTGCCCCACTTTATAGCAAGTGATTGTCCCTGATTGCCTTTAGTGAAAGCAAAGCTCCAGCTGCCCCTTAAAAGGGGGAAACAGTGTGTGTGTGTGTGTGTGTGTGTGTGTGTGTGTGTGTGTGTGTGTG